CCCTGTGGAGAACAATTCCACTCCAGCACACATGGGGCCACCATGAGCTGAAATCAACTCAGTGACAACAGGTCTCCCTGCAAGGCCAGGAGAAGCTACTGAAGCTCTGAGCTGGGGAGGCAGTGGCAAGGCCAGGTTTGCATTCCAGACATTGTTTCTGGCTGCCCAGGGAGAATGGCCTGGAGGGGAGCCAGAGGGAAATGGGGAACCAGTTAGAGTTGAGCAGCCAATCAACAGATGTCCTGAAGACCTGCTGGCTGAGCTCTGTGCCAAGACACAGGCTGGGCCCCTGGACCACAGGTGTTCCGTCACGACGGGCCGGGTGGCACCATGGGCACCATGGCCCCTTCCCTACCACGTCCACACTGGGGTCACTTCCAGTGAAAATGGAACCCAGGGTCACTTAGCTGACATTCTCACCACATTAGCAGCACAACCAGGACGAGCAGGCCCAGGAGTGGCCTCTGGTGCAGATTTGGGCACACTCAGCTAAAGCACTCTTTCCCTTGGCCCCTCCTTTGCATGTCCTTCTAATTCAGCCCACCACTGCGTTAAAGCCACACTGCTGTTGGTGGAACCAGGACAACAGGGACTGTGACAACACATGGCAGGGGACAAGGCCATGAAGTAGACATCTGAATGTGAAAGGCATGTTTTAGTTTAGGACCACTTAGGAAGGCTCAGCTCAGGGCAAGGGATGTGGAGGACAGAAAGTTGCAAGGAAAGTCCTTAACCAAGGAAAGGGCTGGGTATGGGAGGAGGAGATAAGGTTCATGCAGGAAGAGGGGCTTCGGATGTAAATATAAACTCCAAAGGTCAGAGAGGTCGCGAGAGACCAAGGTCATGACACAGCATGCCCAGATGTTAATCCGGAAGAGACCTCAGGGACCTTCTAACCCAGGCGGGCCAGCAGGTTCAGATTGATTGCAGTAGCCTTGAAAGGGAAGCAGCTGAAGTCTCCAGTCTAGAGGTGCTGGTTGCCAACCTGCAGAAGGACAGAGGGAGGCGTGTATGATTCAGCTGAGGGGCCTCCTGCTGCTCAGGGCTCAGTTTCCCTGAGGAGGTGGAGCCAGCAGTCATGCGGGGCCTCTGCTGGGACCTCTGCTCTCCCGTCCTCCCCCACCAGGCCTTCTGTGAACCTGGAAGGACCAAAGGTCCCTTTAGCCTTCTCTCTGCAAAGGGTCTCCCAGAGCTTCGGCTGGTAGACCCAGAACATCTGGTCCTTGACCAGTTAGTCCCCTTCATCCAGATGGTGACCTCCTCACCTGCCCACTGCCTGTGAGTCGACTCTGACTCACGGCGACCCCATGCGTTACAGAGTAGAACTGCCCCCTGGGTTTTCTTGGCTGTAGCCTTTACAGACACACAATGCCAGGCCTTTCTTCTGCAGTGCTGCTGGATGGGTCTGAGCGCAAACCGTTTGGCCACCCAGAGACCCTGACTCCCTCAGCAGCAGCCTGGAGGTGGGGTGAGCCGACACGGGTGGCCTCGTTTTAGGTGTGAGAACTAAAGCACCTTATGTCTGAGCCTTCCTTATCTGTAAAGTGGGCAAAACAAAGCCCTCTCCCCAGGTTGAAGTGAGTAGTAAGGGAGACCACAGCATGAAGAAGGTTGACCCTGGGCCGGGCAGCTGCTCCTTGTGGGTGAGGGAGCAGATGGATGCCAGGCCTCCTGCCTCCAAGCCACATGGGAGCCAGACCTCCAGTGCAGGCTTTCTGACCCAGGCTCAGTGCTCTTTCCACCCCCGCCCAGGGAACTCAGGTCCCACCTCGCAGAGGATGCTACACCGACCCCTGCCCCACCCACACCTGCTGTCCAAGCAGGGGGCATAGCAGGTGGTGCTGAGGGTGTAGAGAGGAGCTAGAAGCCCCCAGCCCAAAGCCAAGGTAGACCCTGTGGCTCTGCCCCTGACACTAGAGTTTGACAGGAAGGGGCTGGGCTGGCTCAGGACGTCCTTTGACATGTGCTGAGTGGCTCCCTCATGTACGCAAGGTGGCCTTGCCAGCTCTGCCCTCCAGGAGCACACAGTCCAGATGGAAGAGGGCAGGAGGCGCCTGCTGGTACAGGGTGGGGGACGTCTTGGACATGAGCTCCATCCACCTTCGGAGCTGCCTGCATGGGGAGAGGTATCTGACTGAAGCCTAGCTGTCTCTGCTCCATCATGCTGCCTTATATTCAGGCAGATGGTAACATGCCTTGAGAGAGGTGATGGCAGGGGAGCAGTGAGTGTTGTTGCCAGAGGGCTGTAAGGGCTCAGAGGAGGCAGGCCCCGGAGGCTAGGAGGGCTTCCTGGAGGAGCAGGCTGGAACCGAGCAGCCCAGGTTGAGGGCCTGGCATTACTCCATGCCAAGCTCTGGGGAGGCCAGCCTTGAGGAGCCTGATCAGTACAGGGTCAGTTGCATGGGGAGCTGGGACTAGATACCAAGCCAAAGAGCCTGCCACTAGGAGGGAGCCCTGGAGGGGCTGGGGCAGGGAGAGACAGAGAGATGGTGGTGTTTCTGGCATCTTTGCCTGATAGTGGCCAATGGAGTGGCACTGGCATGGGGAGACTGAGGTAGGCAGGTGCAAAGGTCTCAGAGGGCAGAGACGGAGGCAGTGGGGATGTGGGCTGACTTGAAGCCAGGTTGGCGATGGGAGTGGGAAGGGGACACAGATGTGCTCAGGGGCACTGGCAGAACAGGCAGCTGAGGGGACCCTCTGGGTCAGATGTCCAGAGTACCCCACTCAGCAGCAGCCTCCTGAGGGTCCATCCAGACAGCCCGTGTGGGTTGAACACAGTGCTGGGCACCAGGGTCTCATTGCAGGGCCAGTGACACCATCCTTTCCTAGCTGGACTGAGGCAGGCCCTCCTCCCCAGCCTCCACTCACTTCCATACCAGCTGGTCCAGCCACTTCCTGCCGGTGTCAGTGGGATCCATTTCGTTTAGGGCAGGTCATGAGAGGCCTTAAAGAGGCCCCTCCCCGCCCCTGGGCCAACCCCTCTGTGCGGGCCCCTCATCCCCCAGCTGGGCTCTCATTTCCACAGCAAGCGTCCATCACCGACTCATTACCACCCCAGCAGCCCTTCTACTCCTGCTCAGAGGGATCCAAGCACTGGCCTGCCCTTGACCCTGGCTGGAGAGTCCCTATACCTTTAGGTCTTCCTTGGGCCCTGAAGGACTAAGCCCTGGGGTGGGGGTGGGGTTGTCCTGCACCAGGTGGGCCCTAGCAACCCCACACCCAGCCCAGTGGCACCATCTGAACTAGGTTCAGCTTGCAGAAGCCGCCCTGCTGAGGGGCGGAGGGCTGAGCTTTTGGACAGGGTGCTCATGCCTGAGGAATTCCGGAAGTTCCCCCCTTCTCCCCACCAGGCACCTTGATTGTGGTGCTGGCCCTTTAAAGCAGATCAGAGGCTGGCTTCTGGGGGAAACATCCCAGATTTCTGCCAGATGCTTACCAGCCTCTGGGCCCGGGAGGGCGGCCACCCAGCCCCCGCCAGGGGCATTGGAAGGGCAGGTGGAGCCGGGGGCATTGATTGCAGTAACCTGATCCCGTTGGGGAGGCGGCACCGACAGCAGCGGCGCAACGGGGCCGGGGAGGGAGCAGCCTGCAGCTGAAGGCTGGGCTGGGCAGAGCTGAGGCTGGGGCCTGGGTCGCAGCGCGGCCGCCTCTCCTGGCCCATCTATTTTTAATGAGCTCCCCAGGCTTCTGCGGCGGGCAGGACGCAGAGAGGCAGGCCCAGGCGGTGAAGGCTAGAAGCCCCAGCCCTGCCCTGCACCCCAGCCCCCCTACCCTCCTGGGCATGAGAGGGCAGCCCTGGGGCCCCACCGCCCCCTGGCCGGGCAGGGTTGCCCATGCAGCTGGTGCTGAAGATGGATTCGAGCCCAGACAATGACAGCTGGCTGGAGGACCAGTGGGAACGCTGGTACGGGGTGCGGGGGCCGGGCGGGGGAGTCTGGGGGCAGCTTCGGCAACCGCTGGGTCTCTGCTGGGTCAGACGGTGGTGAGAGGCAGGGTGTGTGGGCCTTCTAGGTCCCCTGTGGGGCTGGGCCACCACCTCTCCTTGGTGACCTTGGACCAATGAATCTCCCTTGCTCATGGTCTTACAGTGGGGGAGGCTCAGACATTCTCCCTGGCCACCCACCGTCCCACCTACACCAAACCAGGCAGAGTGCCCAGGGCCCCGGGTGAGCAGGTGCAGGGGCTAGGCAGGCACCACAGTAGCTGGCACAGCCCTGCACTCTGGGGTAGGGGCACAGGGCTGGCCTGGGAGGAGGGAGTGGTTTCATTAGAGCTGGTTAGGGTTCTGGTGTTGAAGTGCTGTGGTCTGTCTCCTGAGCGGTTGTATTGTCCCCAACACGGAGCCATCCCTGATCCCATCTGTGCAGCCTCCTGTTCAGTCCAGGGTCTGAACACTGGGTAAGGAAGGAAGAGATACTGTGGTAGATGAGACCAACATACGCCTTGACACGCCAGATCCCATTCATTTGCTCCCAGGGCTCAAAAGGTGGGGTCTTCCTGGGCTAGTGGACCTCAAATTCTCCTTTGAGGCCAAGAAGGTGCTTGGGCCTTGTTGCTTCGGAGACTGCACAGGGAGTCCCAGTTTTAGCTCTTGGAATCTCTGCTCACTTCTCTGTTCTCCATGTCTAAACTGGCCTTGGCACCTGCCTTGACCCTGGGAGGCATTTTGCTGGCAGAGCTGAGGCCCTGACCAGCTGGGCCTTCCAGGCACTGTCACCTGGTTGGCTCCAAGATGCACAACTCCCAGTGAGGAGGAGCCAGAGCAACCTGGTGCCGCCTCATCCACTGCCACCAAAGGAGCCCTACCTTTCGGCACGAGCCAAGAACTCTTTCCCTGCTTGATGGCTTCCCCCTGCATTGGGACTGGTGGACCCCAAATTGTGTCCGCTGGGGACTGTGATCTTCCCTCAAGGGGCTGCCCCTTGGAAGAGGTGATGGGAAGATATCAGTGGGCTCAGCAGTCCCTCTTGGGTGTAACATTGAGTTCCTGTCCTCCCTAGGCTCACCCATGACATCAGCCTGGAGGAGTTTGAAGATGAAGACCTCTCAGAGATCACGGATGAGTGTGACATCAGCCTGCAGTGCAAAGACACCCTGTCTTTACGGGTAAGGGCAGGCTCCCAGGAGTCCCCGGGGGTGGGGGGTGGAAAAGGGCTGAGGAGGCTTTCTGTGTTTGCACTGCACCCTTGTTAAATGAAATCGTACAGATAACATTCGATACAAAACTTGGCACGTCTTGGCTGGTCAGATTTTTTTTTTTTTTTAATTGCCAAGTTTAAGGCAGGAGGCAGCTCTGTTGGCTGCCCACAAGATGGCAGAGGTCTTGAGGTCTATGACAGTAACAGTTCCGGCCAGAGGTCAGGGCAGGCTCACCCCTACCCTAACTAATCTGGGGAGTGGCTCTGGCACAGGGCCTGAGAAGGAGCAGGGTGGAGTCTGATGGGATCTGCAGTGCTTGGAGCAGGGAGGAAGAGCAAGGCAGCCTGGAACACCTCCTGCGGCTGCTGGCCGCCATGCACCATGCCACACCACACCGCCTCCCACACCCTCCCTGGCCACTTGAGTCTTAGTCTCCCATTGGGAGGTTAAGCCAGCAACATTGCTGTTGGTCCCTTGGTGTCATGGGGCAGATGGTTCTCTCCTGTCCTGAAGGAGGTTCTTCAGCAGCTGGGGAGCCTGGATAAGATGGGGATCCCTACTGTGTCTTTCCAGAACAGGAAGACCTGACCAGCCAGGAAATTGAAGACAAAGCTCAGGGATGGGTTTTAGCCCCCAGGAGGGTGGTAGCTAGCTAGAGTAAGTGTGGTATTAGGAGTATGGTTAGCAAAGGCAAAGGAGCCCTGGTGACACAATGGTTAAGCGCTCAGCCACTAACCCAAAGGTCGGCAGTTTGAACCCAACAGCTGCTCCATAGGAGAAAGATGTGGCAGTCTGCTTCTATAGAGTTGCTGTGAATTGGAATCTGTTCGAAGGCAATGGGTTTGTTTGGTTGTGGTTTGGTTTTAGCAGAGACAGAGCAGCAGTGTGGGATGGGGAGGGCTTCCTGCGTCTATGTCGACCTCTTGCTGCTTCCAGAGATTTTGTAAAATCTCAGGCAAGAGGAAACTGAGGAGGGCATAGCCCTTCAGTCCCTCTTACCCCATCCCTCCACACCTGGCCAGTCCAGGAAGGGATGGAGGCAGGGGCCACTATTCTGGACGAAGGTGGTCCACCTGCCCAGAACTCCCACACCACCCCTCCCCCAGCACTCACAAGCAGAGCCTTGGAGAGGCAACCACCAGCCAGGGCTCTGGAGCAGCGCTACGAGTGTAGTTATACCCTGTGGGCCCTTAGACAAGTGCCACACATCTCTGGGAAGCTGGGAGGCGGTTGTATTGTCCCCAGTGAACTGGTGAGGAAATGGAAGGATCAGGGCATTTGTCAGAGGCGTCAAGGAGTTAATAAGAGCTGGAACTAGAATGGGGCTCAGAGCTATCCAGACAGGGTTGTTAGGCTGTGGGGAAAATCCCAGGTTGGAGAGTCTAGCCAGTGGGCCGAGGAGACTGGGGAGGGTGGGGAGTGCACTGACTGTTCCTGGTGCCCCCATTCCTGCCCTTCCCTCTCAGCATCCGTCTTCGGGTAGCTCTCAGGACCTCCCTGTCCGTACTGCCGCCTTCTCGCAATTCCTCGCCGAGGAGAGACTCAGTTTTCCTCTTTTCTCTTGGCGCCCTACAAATACTAATCCCCTAGCCCCGGCCCCGCAGGGGCCTGAACTCCTTAGCGACCCCTGCGTCCCTATAGCAACAGCGGTGACCTCACTCTGGGCTCGGCTTACAACCCGAGTGAGGTCACCGGCCGTTGCCAAGGGAACGGGAGAGTGTAAGAAATCAGGAACGAGGGGACCATAGGGAGAGGAGAGGTGTGGACTGTCAAAGGCATCAACTGAAGTGGGGTAGGAGGAGAGGAGGCGGGCCCACGGAGGCGCTAAAGGGAGCTGCCGTCTCTCTCCGGTCTCTGCTCGGCTTCCTTTCCTCCCCTGTTCACCGCACCGGAATGGACTCGACCGGGTGGGGGGCGGGGAACAGGGGGCGGTGCGTGGCGGCTTGGCTCCGCCCCCCGGCGCGGCCTCGCCCCCTGACGCCCCTCTGTCCGCGCCGCGCAGCCCCCGCGTGCCGGGCTGCTGTCTGGGGGAGGCGGCGGCAGCGCGGGGAGCCGGCTGCAGGCAGAGATGCTGCAGATGGACCTGATCGACGCGACCGGGGACACTCCCGGCGCCGAGGACGACGAGGAGGACGAGGAGGAGCGCGCGGCGCGGCGGCCGAGCGCGGGGCCGCCCGCGGCTGAGCCCGGCCACGAGCCGGCTCCCCGCGGCCAGGGCCAGGGCCCGGGCAGCGGAGACACGTACCGACCCAAGAGGCCCACCACGCTCAATCTCTTCCCGCAGGTGCCGCGGTCTCAGGTGAGGAGTGAGTGGCGTGAGGCGCGGCTGAGGGGGCGGTGCCCTGGGGCCGACCTGCAAGGTGTGGGGATTCTGAGAGCCTTTGGGGATGTCAGGCCCGGTTCGCGGGGTGAGGGGCTGGTCGGGCCCTGGGAGGGTCCCTCGGCCTGGTGAGAGGCATGGAAAGGGTCTGCGGTGGCTAGGTCCTGGGCGGGTGGGTTCTGTAGGGCAGGTGGGATCTGGGGTCCAGCTGGCTGGGTTTGGAGCCTTGAGGAGGGATGGAAGGAGTTAAGGGCTGACGCTACACAGTGGAAGGGTAGGAGAGAAGTAGGGGGTTCAGATAACAGGGAGTGGTTTGGAGCTTGGAAGCTGAGGCTGTGAGGGGCTTTCCCTTGGGATGTGGGCTTCCTGGTGAAGGTGGAACAGAGGCAAGGCCTGGAGAGTTGGACGGCTGAAGTGGCCAAGAGGCAGGAAGGTCACGGGAAATTGGGAGAGTTGGGAAGTTCAGGGGGAGCAGCAGGGAGTCCCCAGTAGGTCTGGAAATGAACTGGGAGATGGAGCTGCTTGGCTGTTGGGGACTTAGGGCCCCTGGGCTAGGTGGCTGGATGCCAAGGAGGGCTGAAGAGGGTGGCGAGAGCTTGCTGTGGCCTTTTGTCTTCAGGCCTAGTCAGTCAGGAGAGGTAGAGAGAGGGAGCCCAAGGAGGTGGGGCTGTTGGTGGGTGATGCAGGGGCCGCAGGGAACAGGGCTGCTCCCTTTCCCAGGATCCTCTGGAATGGGTCTTGGCAGCCAGACTTGTGAATGTGAGGGCTTGTGGGAGCGGGTGAGGGTGCTCCCGAGAGAGGAGGCCTGAGCTGTGTGTAGGAGCCTTGGATGCCAGCATTATGGCAGAGGGTCCCCAGGGGCTGAGAAGGTGGGACTGGCAGCCCAGGAGATTCAGGAAGGAGGGCTGCTGACAACTACACCTGTCACTCCTCAGTCCTGTGCTATTGGGTGGAGGGGGGGCATCTTCTGGATTTGTCATTGGGTGAATCATCCCAGTCTCTCTTGTCACACTCCTGGGCAGACCCTTCCGTGTGCTTTGTCAGTCTCAACCAGAATGTCCCCGTCCCTTCTGTGGGCCCAGGCCTTCTGAGCACCAGGGCAGGGTCTCTGACTTGGGCTGGAATTATGCATCTTACATGTAAACCCTCAACATCTGGGACTGGGGCTCTGGCTATGTCCCCCAAGAGCTGCCACCTCTCCCTCACACTCTCCCCACACACACATTCGCCCTTCCGCATTTGTGATGCTGGTATGGCCATCCCCTGGAGGTTGGCTGGCTTCCCTGAATCAGGAGGGTGGGAGACCTGCAGCCTGTGGTCCTGGCTGGGAGGGCTGTGACCTGCAGACCTTCCTGTTTATTCTGGAGCTGGGTTGGAGTGAGGCCTGTGGCAAATTGGGAGGGCAGCAGGCTGCTGCAGGGTGGCCTGAGGGGGCAGGGCCAGGGCCTCCCTGTGCTGGGCACTGTTGACCGCTCCTGCCACAAGAGCCCTTTGTTCCCGGCACAGGACACGCTGAATAATAATTCTCTGGGCAAGAAGCACAGTTGGCAGGACCGGGTGTCTCGATCATCCTCACCCCTGAAGACAGGTAAGTCAAGCCCCTTTCCTGTCCCTGTACCTGAACCTGCCCTGACTCAGTCCCCACCTCAGTGCAAACCCACCAGTCTCCAACCTGCTGAGTAGAGGTGAGCCACCCACCCCACAGCCCTTAGCAAGCCTAGCTGGGGGCTGAGGTCAGCTGTGGCATGACTTGGGGTGGGTGAGTTGACTGGCCCCGAAGCCTGCCAATATCCTGTTGCCAGGGGTGGCTTTGTCTAGATTTCTGGTGTTGAGATGCTGAGAGTAGAGGGCCAGGTAGCATGGGGGTCAGGGGTGCAGGCGCCTTTCTCCAGCCCTGACTCCCTCGCTCTCCAGGGGAGCAGACACCCCCTCATGAACACATCTGCCTGAGTGATGAGCTGCCCCCCCTGAGCAGCCCCGCCCCCACCAAGGACCGCGGCACCTCCACCGACAGTCCTTGCCGCCGCAGTGCTGCCACACAGATGGCACCTCCAGGGGGCCCCCCTGCCGCCCCATCTGGTGGCCGGGGCCACTCGCATCGAGACCGCATCCACTACCAGGCGGACGTACGGCTAGAGGCCACCGAAGAGATCTACCTGACGCCAGTGCAAAGGCCCCCAGACCCTGTGGAGCCCAGCTCTGCCTTCCTGCCACCAGCTGAGAGCCGCATGTCAGTCAGTTCTGACCCAGACCCCGCCACCTACTCCTCAGCTGCTGGGCAGCCGCACCCCTCCATCAGCGAAGAAGACGAGGGCTTCGACTGCCTGTCGTCCCCAGAGCGGGCCGAGCCACCTGGCGGCGGATGGCGGGGGAGCCTGGGAGAGCCACCACCGCCTCCACGGGCTTCACTGAGCTCGGACACCAGCGCCCTGTCCTACGACTCAGTCAAGTACACGCTGGTGGTGGATGAGCATGCCCAGCTGGAGCTGGTGAGCCTGCGGCCGTGCTTCGGGGACTACAGTGATGAGAGCGACTCGGCCACCGTCTACGACAACTGTGCCTCCGCCTCCTCGCCCTATGAGTCGGCCATCGGGGAGGAATACGAGGAGGCCCCCCAGCCCCGGCCCCCTGCCTGCCTGTCCGAGGACTCCACACCTGACGAGCCTGACGTCCACTTCTCCAAGAAGTTCCTGAACGTCTTCATGAGCGGCCGCTCTCGCTCTTCTAGTGAGTGGGCAGCGGGAAGCAGCTTGGGGCAGGGGGTGGGAAGAGCCACAGTGAGGGGTGTTCTGGAGAGGTGGCCTCAGGCGCCGTTGGTTCAAGACGTGAGGACTGAGGACTCTCTACCTGCCCCTCAAACCTCAAGCAGAGCTGAGACCATCCGCCTCTAGCCCCCTCCCCTCACCTGTAGGTGCAGAGTCCTTTGGGCTGTTCTCCTGCATGATCAATGGGGAGGAGCAGGAGCAGACTCATCGGGCCATATTCAGGTAAGATCTCCCAGGGCCACTCCTCTCATGGCCTCTGCCCTCACCACAGGCCAGAGCCTAATCCCCTCCTGACCAGGTCAGTGGCCACCACCAGCATCCATCATCCACTCGGCCCCAGGGCACGTAGTGCCCGCCTTATAGAAACTGAGTCAGGACGGTTACAATGCAGTGTGGTCTGCTGTGGTCAGATGTGGGCGCCTAGGACTGGCCAGGGGCAGGGTGCCCAGGGGTGATAAAGAGAGATGATGCCTGCCACATGCAAGCCCTCATCCCTACCAGACCCTCAGACTCCTAACTGGGAGTTCCTGCCCTCACAGTTCTGTCAGCAGCTCTGCTCACTTCCTCCTTTGGCCCCCACATTCCTCCATGGCAGGAGTGGGTCTGATTGGGCCTGGTCTCCCCCAGGAGCTAGCATTGTGACAGGCACATGGTAGAAGCTTTGCCAGTGTTTATTGAACTACCAGTGCCACTGTGGCTCCCTGACTCCAGAGCAGGTGGGAAGAAGAGGGCCTGCACGGAGAGGCCTCGTGAGGGGCTGCCTCACATGCCCTGTTGGGAACAGGTTTGTGCCTCGACACGAAGATGAACTTGAGCTGGACGTGGACGACCCGCTGCTGGTGTTGCTGCAGGCCGAGGACTACTGGTATGAGGCCTACAACATGCGCACAGGGGCCCGGGGCGCCTTTCCCGCCTACTACGCCATTGAGGTCACCAAGGAGCCTGAGCACATGGCAGGTAGCGTCTCTGTCTCCTGCCTGCTGCCTCCAGCCCCCACATGAGCCCTGCCCCTACCTCCTGCCAGGTGAAGACCTGCTCTGGATCTCACTTGCTTTTCTCAGCCTGCGGGGGAGGGGGCCAGGCAGAGGTGCTTCCGTCCATTTCACAGTTGAGGAAAGTGAGCCCCAGCAAAGCGGTGACATCTGTGGGTTGTGGCACCCCCTGCTGGCTCTGTCACTCCACATGCATCACCTTCATCCTCCGCTGAGCTCTTCCCCCAGCTGCAGGCTCAGCCACACCTCACTTCCTGCTTGCTTTGCAGCCCTGGCCAAAAGCAGCGACTGGGTGGACCAGTTCTGGGTGAAGTTCCTGGGCTCAGTCCAGGTCCCCTATCACAAGGGCAACGACGTCCTCTGTGCTGCTATGCAAAAGGTACCTGGGTCCCTCTCCCTGCTCCTCCTGGCGTGGGTTCTCACCCCCAGCCCAGCTCAGCGCCCATGCTCCCCTAGGTGGGAGGGACACAGGTGTCAAGAGGTGGTAAAGGCCCCATGGCCCAAGCCCTGGAGCCACGGTTCTGGCAAAGGGACAGACAGCCCCTGATGTGTCTGCCCCGTCGCCCAACAGATTGCCACCACCCGCCGGCTCACCGTGCACTTTAACCCGCCCTCCAGCTGCGTTCTAGAGATCAGCGTGCGGGGTGTGAAGATAGGCGTCAAAGCTGAGGACTCCCAGGAGGCCAAGGTGACTGACCCGGCCCTGCCCCCGGCTCACCCACCAGATATTGCCATCTTTTCCCAGCCTGCATCGCTGCAGGCTGGGAGACCACCTCTTTCTCCTCTCCTCCCTCCTGTAGGGGAATAAATGTAGCCACTTTTTCCAGTTAAAAAACATCTCCTTCTGTGGATACCATCCAAAGAACAACAAGTAAGTGGGCTGGGAGAGGGGTAGAGGCGTTAGAGTGTGGTCTGGAGCCGTTACGGGTGATGTCTGAGTCCCGAGTGGGCCTGGAGGGCTCTGCGCCTCCCCCTGCCCATAGACGCTGTGCTCCCACAGGTACTTTGGGTTCATCACCAAGCACCCTGCCGACCACCGGTTCGCCTGCCATGTCTTTGTGTCTGAGGAGTCCACCAAAGCCCTGGCGGAGTCCGTGGGGTATGTGTGTGTGTGTCCTGCCAAGCCCCGGCCCCAGAGCGGCTTCCTCAGGCTCAGCTCCATCCCTTAGTCTTCCCAGCTGCCCTGGAACAGCCTGAAGGGAGGCCGGGTGGTCTGGAGGAGTGGTTTCCTAACTTTGTAGCTGCTGGACCCTTCCTTCAAATGAATTCCTGCTCAGGAAACCCAGTTCCTAGGGATCAGAGCCCCCGCCAGGGGCCCTCGAGGCTCCAATTTGAAAACCCTGGGTGGAGAGCCTCCACCTCCTGTCCTGTCAGCCAGTGACTGCTCGGGTCAGCCGTGGGTCTTGTCTGCCTGCCTTCTAGGAGAGCATTCCAGCAGTTCTACAAGCAGTTCGTGGAGTACACCTGTCCCACAGAAGACATCTACCTGGAGTAGCAGTGCTGCCTGCCCTCTGCAAGCTCAGGCCAGTGCCAGGACAGCTGGCTGCTGGCGCGAGGTGGCACTGTCTGAGGAAGGGCACCCCACCTCCACCAAAGGCTGGGAAGCGGGGGCAGCCGGCCGAGGGTGGGGGAGGGCGGGGTTACAGGGAGAGGCAAACGCAGTTCATTGTAATATATGGGATTAGATTCATCTGTGGAGGACAGAGAGGGCCGCCCAGGGTTGGGAAGGGCAGGGCTGGGGATGTCGGGCCTCTGGCTATGGAAGATACCCACCCGTCCTTGGGGCAGAGAGTTCTGCCCTGTCCTGGGCCTCTGTCCCACTGCCTGGGCTCCGTGGTTATTGGCTCCTGCCTTGACGGTGTCCATGCCACCTGCAAGTGGCCACCCTGCCCCCGCCCCCAACCCCAACCAAAAAGCCCTGAGCTCAGGCCGAGCGCAGCCACCTCCTGAGGACTTTCCGGTAAGGAAATGGCACCAAGTGGAGGTGAGGCCCCTGTTCTCAGCCCTGTCACTCATATGGCCTCAGGATGTCTCCCACCCACAGTCTCGCCAGCATGCTGGTGCCTGGCAGGCTTAGGACCTCAACGGGGCAGAAGAAGCTTCAGCAGGTCCTGGCCTGGCAGGAAAAGGAGGCGCTTGACTGACCTAGTCCAGCTGGGGCCCCTTGGCTGCCTCAGCTGTGGCCTCATTTGGCCTTGTCATCCTGGCCACAATTATTAAAGTGCCATTTCCTGTCTGGACCACAGCGGGTGTATCTCCATGGACCCCCTCCCACACCCACCCCACATGCCTAGGAAAGCCCAAGCCTTTGCTGCACAGAATAGCTTTATAAGGGGCTCCTGTCACAGGTGTGTGTCGTAATACTCAGCCATGTCTGGCCCATCTCGCTTACGCTGCTGGGCTCGAGAGAGGAGGGGCCGCAGCCCTTGTGGCCAGGGGTGCTTGGGTCGGACGCCATAGTCTGAAGGGAGAAAAGAGGGTTTGGGAGGGAGAGTCTGGGTTTGAACCAGACTGAAGTTGCCCTTGGAACAGATGCTGTATGGGATGAGAAGACCCTAAAGACTCCTGCTCCCAGGGAGGGGAGAGGGACAGAGGAAAAGGTTGGGAGACACTACCATCCACCAGACCGGAAAGCGGCTCCGAGAGTTCCAAGGGGGCCGAAAACTCCTCAGGAACGGATCGCTGAGGCCTGTGGGAGATGTTGGGGTGCTCAGCTTTGCCCCCAGTGGCAGGGCAGGCTAAGCTGCCACCGCTCCCACCTCCCTGTGAACAGAGGAATGCCCCGGGTGGGGGGATTTGGCAAGCCCCATGATGCCCAGGAGCCCGGGGCCAGCCTTTCCTCCAGGGAGGGAGAGCTGCACAGCTGAGCCCCGAGCTCAAAGGCCTTTGGGTCCCTGTGGAGCCCCCACCAGACGTTACCTCAGGGGCTGGGGGCGAAGGAGTGCGGCCGCCAGGACAAGGTAGAGGAAGAACAGGGTCAGTCTGGCCCTGGGGTACAGAGCCCCCAGCATGGCGAGAACCATCTCCTACAAGGACCTTGGTCTCAGCTTCTGCCTGCCCCTCCCCCAGCAGTAGGACGGAACCTGCTGTCTGACTCCCTGGGCCACCTCACAAAGGGCATTAGTTCCAGGGCTCATGGTCAGCAACGGCTCTGGGGTTAGGCCAGAAACTACCACCTGAGGTGTTGGGTTTGGTTTACTGATGCTGTACACTGACAGGTGCCAAACCAAATCCTGTTAAGAGTTTCATCACCCAAAAACCGAGAACACAGACAGGTTTCACTTGGATTCTGACCTGGCCTCTTGCTGGATGGGCAGATTATATAATCTCTGTGCCTCACATTCCTTACCTGTAAGAGTGGTTGGAAAGTAATGGACATAATGTGTCGAACAAAGTCTGGCACACAGTAGGCCTGCAACTGAGATCATGGTCACCGAACACTCGCCACAGAGAGCCCCAGCCATTTCCCCTCAGCCTCCTTTCCTGCTCTCTGCCATCTCCATGGTCCCAGGAAGGTCCTGCCAGCTGAAGAACCCAGACTAGGTCACTTACCCTGACCTGTTCTGTGATGCTACCATGAGAGGAGGAAGTACAGACTCCTCACCTCCTGCTCTCTGGGGCCTCCCCACTTTGCTCCCTGCAGCTTAGAACAGCCTGGGCCGGGGGTGCTACAGGTCCCTGCCACCACCCCTGAGGCTGGAGAAAGGGTTCTCAAGTGTGGTGGCAAAACCCTGGACCTACTCCCTAGAGTGGAAGCTTTGTGAGGGCAGGGATGGGGAGGTGTGGTTCATGCAGAATCCCCAGCACTGGACACCTAGTAGGTGCTCAATAAATATTTGTTGAGTGAATGCATGCAGCGTTGAATCACTCCACAGGTCTGAGGCCGAGCTGCGGCTGTTCCACGCAAATCCATGGTGCTGCACCAGCCCTATGGGATCAGAATCTGAGTTGAGCCTAAGGAATCTGGGGCTTCTGCAAAACCAGTGGACCCACCGGCCCCCTTTAACTGAGCCAGTGTCCGAGGCGCAGAGGGCGAGCCCTTGTCTCCGACCCTGGCTCTCCCCGAGTGTACTCATTCACAGTCCTGGTCTTGAGGATCCCTGGAAGCTGACAGTTTTGGGATTCCCTTCAGTCCAGTCCTCTCCTGCAGGCTCAGCCCACCTCCCACAAGCTGCCTTTGTGTCTACTGCCCCTACTGAGGTTCACCCCACCAAGAACCCAGGAGTTCATGTGCTGCTTCACTCCAAAGCCCCTTGTTCTTGTCTCCCTGCCTCCCAGGTGCCTCCCTCTTGCTCTTGGTCTACAACCAGTCCCCAAGGCCTGCTTCAGTTACATCCTCATCTCTCTAGTCCCACTGCCATTGCTTTAAGTTAGCTCTTCTGACTGCCACAGGCCTGTGCCCCCAGTTTCCCTGCTTATGTCCCCCTAGCTCCACCCACCAACACATCCTCCACTAGGCTGCTGGAATGTTTAAAAACAAGCCCTCCCCCACTGCCTACCACCACAGGCCCACGTTTCTGGCCAGACGTGATGCTCCTTATTGTCCCAGCTCTAGCCAAGACAGCCCCACATTTCACAGTGACACGAGTGATGTCCCACACAGACCCTCCTTGCCCTCTGCCTCCCGAGAAGCCTGCATTGCATGAAGCTTTCCCTCCCCGATTTGTCTCTTCACTCCCCTGCACCACCTCTTCGGGTAGAGGGTCCCAACGACCCCTCCCCCAAGCCGTTTTATTGCAAAAACGGTGCACTGCACACCATTGCACGTGTCTCCTCCATAATCTGTGAGAGCTGGAGGGCAACTGCACCGTGTTCAGTCTCTGGACACAGAGCCTGCTCTGGAGCCAGGCCCAGTGATACTGTTTCCCCTGTGGGTCAGCACATTCATCTCCCCAGAAGGGAGTGGGGCAAGCAACATCACAGTAGACCTGGTGCTTCCCAAAGGGTGGCTCTCCAGCTGGAGATCTGGGAAGAGGGTGAGGCATGGGGATGCAGGATGACTGATACCCCTGCAGTAAGCAAGGCACGGAGCCCTCCGAGTTGAAGGGGCCATGTGTTTGGTTAGAACCTCCAGCAGGAGGGGGGTGGCCACGTACAGGGCAGGAGCAGGGGCATGTGGGCAAGGGCAGAGCAGACAGCAGTGTGCCTGCTGCCCCATCTGTCTAGGCACCTCCACCCACCACAGCAGCCTGCAGGAGTCCAGGTGGACTGGGCCACCAGGAAACAAGGAGCCACAGCATGAGGACAGATGGCCCTTGCTCGTCCCCTCTGAACCTGCACCCTGCTCTCTTGCAGAGTCAGACTCCCAGTCCTTCCCCAACCCTGGGACTGTGCAGTGCTTGACATTCTTTCCTAGGGAGAAGTGCCTTTTGCTCATCCAGGGTTAGGTGCGACCTTATATGCATTGAGGTGAGAACACATAGGTTGCTGCAATAAATAGATGTACAAAAAGAGTCTTGACCGCGGGTGGTGGGGTAGAGGTGGCTGTCTGCCGTGGGGGGCCCCTCTGCACTGGAGCTGGGCCCACCATCCACCAAGCTGCATCACGGGGTCAGCCGGCCAGAGCCACAGGCCCTGCAGAGGGAAGGTGCAGTGGAGTCTTGGCAAAGACACATTGGGTAGCTGTCATCCTACTGTCCAGGTTGTCTGGTCTGTTTTCCTCGGGAACCGGGGAGAGCAGCGTTCGCCCCTGCAGCTGCCAAGGCAAGCGGCTTCGCTTCCTAGGCTCAGCAGAGGTCTTGGGGTGTCTGGGTGTTAAATAGCTTTCAGTGGCTCAAGGAACCTGCGTCCCAGTCCTGGTGGGGGTTCCGTGACCCGGCGACAGCTGAGCAGCAGTGCTCCGTCGCCAGAGGGGCTCTTCGAAGTCATGAGGGCACTAGGGTGGGGCCGGAGCTGAGGGCAAAGCCCAGCCAGGGTGAGGGTGCCAGGTACCCTGGGTGGGGGCACAGAGAAGCCACATGCCTAGACATGGCCAGAGTCAGTTTTATTAGGGAAGTGGGGCCAGGGGACCGAGGGCTGAGCCACCCCCGGCCCACGGCAGCAGACCATGCCATCCTGCCCCTCCCGGCACCCCACTCCAGGTTGACTGTCAGCCCCAATTGTAGAAATAAATTTTCTGCCAGGTGGGCAAGTAATCCATGAGCGGCCCTGTAAGGAGAGAGAACAGATACAGGGCCATGGCTCCGTTCCTCCCACGGCCCTCCTACTGGGCCAAGCTACCCCACACAACCCCCATCTGCATAAGCAGATGGGAGGGAGGATCAGCAGGGGCCTCCATCCCATATATAAACAGGGACCCTCAGGCTCAGAGGCCAAATGGCTGCACCCTGTGTAGGCAGAGCCAGATCTGAACCTTCTCTGTGAGGTGGGCCTCTTCCCACCAGATAATCCTTCACCCACATCAGACTGTCTCATATTGCCCAGGATACTAAGGCAGGAAAAAGGTTTTGAGCCCAATGTGGTCTAACACCCCTCCAACCAGGGTACCCCTCCCTCCCACTCCTGAGCATCTGTCAGCCACCCTGGCCCCTGCTCAGGAACTGTCACCCACCCCTGACTGTGCCAAGCACCAAATTACAAAAAGGCAGGGAAAATACCCTCAAGGGAAACGGCCCACGAACGAATGAGAGCCACTGCACTTGGTATCACCACCCCACCCCACACTTACTTGTGACCAGGCCAATGCCAGGGACATGGTCTGCCAGCAGCTGGAGCAGAAAGAGGATCTTGGCCCTGGAGGGAGAAGATAACAGGACTGAGTAGGGTCCAAGCCCAGGTAAACGAAAGCACTAAAAGCCCGCAGTGACCGCCTGACTAAAGGCAAAGAGCTAGGACGGACCCCATTACCAAAGGGAGAGGCCACTGGGGCTGGCTCTGCTCTCTGCCCCTGCGACCCGGCCCCAGCCCAAGACGCTCACAACCGGCATCTCTGGCTGGCCCTGCCCTCCCAGTCCTTCCTTTTTCCTTTTCTTTCCAGACGTCCAACGCCACGTGCTTCTGAGTGCCAGGTACAGAGCAGTGCCAGGGCAGGGGTAGGGGAGGATTTTATGGGAGAACAGCGCCAGGGCATCCCTTAAGAGACCCCAGGCTGGCAGAGGAGCAGAGCCACATGGAAACCTCATAGGCCAAAGATGAGAGTGGTGAGGGCTTGGCTGCTAACTAAAAGGTTGCCAGTTTGAACCCACATAGTGGCTTTGTAGAAAAAAGACCTGCCAATCTGCTTATGTAAGGACTACACAAGGCACATTCAAGAAAACCCTGAGGCAGGTTCACTGTGTCACATGGGATCGTTATAAGTCCCAGTGGACTTGATGGCAGCCAATAACAACAACAGTATTAAGTATAGTTGAAGAATGCTTCCTGCTGTTCCAGAGGAAATACCACAGGTCCTGTGGCCATAACAGTAAATGCAATTCCAGTTAACAGTTCATTCTTAAGCAGGACATTTACTGAGACCCAGAGAAAGGGCATCCTGGGAGCTCCGGTCTGTCTCACGGCCCCAGGACCCCTCCTCAAATCTCCTCCTCTCAAGCAGCCACCCAGGTTGCTCCTCTCTGCCGCCTCTTCCACAGGTCTTTCTATGGCTGGCTGAGGCTGGGAGCTCCAGTGATGGAGTAGGGGCTCAGCAAGGCAGGGAACACACCAGAGGAGAACATGGATTTAAGGTGTGGCTCGGCCACTCATCTGCTGGGTGGCTGGATCTGCGTGGTGAGTCATACAACCTCTCTGAGCCTTGACTGCCGCCTCTGAGAGAAGGGCTAATCCAAAACACATGCCTGGAAGAGGCGGGGCTGAGCTGTGGGATGTGGAGAGCCAGCACCCCCCACCCTGTGGGCCAGCCCTCAGCGTCTCTCCAGCAGGGGCTGGCCCCACAGTCAGGGCGGGAAGGGGCTGGCATCTGGTGGAACAGGGAGTAACTGCAGCTGGGCACATAGTGCATGCTCAGTGAGGGGTCAGGGGAGGATGGCAGGCAGCGCAGGGGCTGGCACCCTAGTGCTCTCCTCCCCTTCCCTAGCCCAGTGCTAGTGCTGCCAACACCACCTGGGGCTGGGCCTTACTCAGAGAAGCGGTCATAGAAGGGGGAGCGCAGCAGGTAGAAGAGCAGCAAGGTGGTCCGGCGCCGGAGCTCTAGCCGTTCCCTCTGGGTCAGGCCCTTCCTGTCACTCAGGAGGCTCAGGCTGGGGGGTGGGAGACACAGTCAGGGCCAGGGCCAGGGGCCATGGGCTGGGTTTCTACATGGGCAGCGACAGGAGGAGCAGGAGCCACCTGACAAGAGCCAGCCAAGAACCAGGCTCACCAGGGGCTGGAGCAAGCCGTGGGGAGGCCCAGCCCAGCTACGTCTATGGGACCACAGCACCAGAGGGGTCATGTCTTCTCAGCCCTTTGCTTTCACGCGACCATGATGAGAGGCACACACCTGCCCCTGTTCAAGGCCAGGAGAGCAGAGCCTGAAGGGACAGAGGTGACAGCCCATGGCCCAGTGGAGGGAGTGACGCCCAGGCCCACCTGGTCACGTCCACAACACCAGACAGAAGCCAAGGCGTCCACGACCGCTGGCCCCAGAGGCCCAGGCTGAGCACTGATGGCCAAAGAGTCAAGGAGGTCTCCAGCACATGGGCCTGGCACCTGCCACTCTCCGATCTGCCTGTACCTTGCAGCCCCAGCCCACCCCATGCTAAGGATACAGTGCAGCAGGGGCCGAGCAATATACAAGGACTCTGCGATGGTCTCCTGAAGCCCCAGTGAAGTGGGGGTGATATTCAGCTCTTCGTGGTGCTGCTGCTGCTGTCTCTCTCGCTGCTGGGGGGCGCCCCAGTGCCTTGAGTGCAGGGATGGAGCTGGAACACAAGGGCTGGCAGATGAGCAAGCCAGGCCCAGGCTGGGCAGGGAGAATGCGGGCAGTATGGGAGTCGTCCCTCAGGCCCACACTGACCTCAGCACGGGCGCCCAGTCCAGCTGCGTCCTACACTTACTGTTCTGCAGGGTTCGCACCACGCGGCTCGACCGCTTCCCCACATAGGGCTGTTCCTGGCTGCCAGGGCTGGGGTCACCATCTAACAGGGATAAACAGAAGCCACACTGTCAGAGGGATGTGATGCCAAGAAAGCCTGCAAAGAACACATATGAAATGAATGCTCATGCGCTCAGAAAGGAGCTGAAGAACTCATACTAAGGGAGCGCTGAATCAAGAATGGCAGCCAGGGGCTGTGGCTCAGCACAGGAACAGCCACAGGAAGAGCCAGCCTGGAACCAGGATGCCCAGGGGATGGAGCAAAGTAGAAGGCGTCCAGACCAGCTATATCTAAGGGACCAAAAGACCAGAGGGCCTGTGCTTTCACAAACCGTGATGAGAAACAAAGAACTATTCCCATTCAAGGCCAGGAGAGTGGGGTCCAGAGGTCCACAGGGGTTAGGTCCCAAGGCTTGAAGGGCAGACTCTTGGAGAACCAGGCTCAGAGATGAAGTTGGCAGGACTCTTCCCTCCTGCTGATGCCCTGTCCCCTCTTCCTGCTGCTCACATAAAAGAATGTCTCTGACATCAGATGTCCTGGGTCCCAGTTCTGACCCCTCCCCTTAACCTAATCTGTTTCCTTTTCCATAAAATATAGGGTAATGGGGAGAAGTTAGTCGATGAGGGTAGATGTGTTTCATATATGGATGATGATATATTCATGTGGTCAGTTATAAATCCACATGAGTCCCCTCCGGAGTGGGGAGGAAGCTTACCCAGGGGCCGTGCCTGGGCCTCCCTGTCCAGAGGAACGATGGGGGGTGAGGTCTGGAGGCCAGCCTTGAACCAGATCAGCAGAAACATCCGCAGCACAGCCCTGGGTTGGGGAGTACGGCAGAGCTGGGGAGCACGGCAGGGCTGGGGGGCATGGCGAGCTGGCAGGGGCTCGAGGCGCTCTACTGAGCGCCTGCACAGCAGGTCAGAGAACCCCCACCAAGGCTCTGCCTCCACAGTCCCAACCTACTTGGCTAGCTGGATGAGGGCGATGACAAGCCAGCGGCCTACTTCTCCCCACACCTTGGTGGCCCCCATCTCCATGAACACCTCCACGCACTCCAGCACGCTCAGCCATGTCAGTAGCTTCTGCTGGGACAGTGACTGCAAGAGCCCCAAGCCAAGAGGTCAGGAGGCTCACCTAGTCCCAGGCCCTCCACCTAGGGGCCTCCTCTGACAGGAGATGTGGATCGTCCCCTTTCCAAGCCAAAGTCTGCAGACCTGACCTGGCCTCCAACACCAACTCCACCACTAACAGGGTGAGTGACTTGGAGACAAGCTACGCCACACCTCTCTGAAACCTAGTCTCTTCATTCAAAGATGGCGCCACAGATACTTTGAACCTTATGAGGTGGTGTAAGGCTCCAAAGGACACGACCTCTATCAGACTATAACACAGGCTGTACACATAGGCTGGTTGTTACTTTTTCCTTCCTAAGTCCTTGTGTTTCCCACCCCAGTCCCTGGCAGAATCCTCACCACAGGCAACTTTTTCCGAAGCTCCTTCCGGAGGATCCCGTCATTGAGCAGAACAAGCAGATTAGAGGCAGAGTACACTGAGGGGCAGAACGTGGTTTTGAGTGGCTGGCTCTGCAGCCTCCACCCATCACCTTCTCCCCAAAGCTGCAGGGATTGCCCATCACCTGCGCTGCTCAGCCACCCACAGACTCTGTGGAAACCAACCTGACTCTCTGCCCTCCTCCTCAAAGCTTCATGCTCCCCTGTGTGGGCAGCTGGATCAAGGGCAGGTGGTGCAATCTCAAAACCAGCTACCATCCTGCTGGGTAGCACCCACCATCCAGTGCCCAGAACTGCCCACTGTGTGCCAAGCAGCTATGGATGTGTGATCCCACTTCCTGGCCTTTGCTGTCTCCTCAGCCAGTCCCTGAAATTCTATTCCCTTCTTTCCTTTCAAAACCCAGTTCACTCCTTCACTGCTATCACCTCCAGTATTCACTGGGCAAACACACACTGAGGCAACTACAGTCTGGGGATCCTGGACTTTGAGAGATGGATTTGAATCCTGGATGTGGGACCATCAGTGGCTGGTCCCCAACCTCACTGAACTAACAATAACAGCACCTACTTCATTGGACTCTGGGAAAGATTAACTGAGCAAAGGCAGGAAAGGTACTTAGCTTCTGGTCTGATAGTGAACACTCAAGTCAAGGTTCCCAGACAAGTCTCCCCACAACAGGGGCACAGAAGGCCCCCCAGACAGTGGACATGGATTTCTGTCCAATTCAGAGTGATGTAACCGACAGCCCAGGACCCGACCCGGAGCAGTCACTCTCTCTGGGAAGCTCTCCAGGGCCTTGGCCCATTTCCAACCACCCCAGAGGCCGGCTCACCTAGCTCCGACAGCTCGTGTGAATCGGCGAAGCGACCTGGAGAGAAGGCACGAAAGAGGCGTTGGTAATACAATGTTGCACCCTGTGGTTTTGGGTCCCCAGACGTCCCTACCATGCGCCCTACGGGATCCTGGAAGGGACCTCCCAAGCACAACGGTCACCACTACGACGCCGCAGAGGAGGCGGCCAGTGGGGTCAGAGGTCAGGGACCCGAAGGTATGTATGGGTCAAAGGTCAGGGTGGCACCTGCCAGCAGGTAACTGAGGCCCCGCACCGCCGTCTCCAGCTGGGCCGTGGCGGCAGGATGACGAGTCACGTACTCCTGGTAGCGGAGGCCCAGGAGCCGCAACTTCTCCATCCTGCCCTCAGGACTGACAGACCCACAGACCGACAGAACACTGCCTGCAGCGCCCTGCTTCCTGCGCCCTCCTTCCTGCTTCCGGCCCTAGGCCCGCCTCTCCGTTTACTTAACTTCCGCGGGCTAGTGGTGGTGACGTGAAGGGCCATTAAGCATCCCTTCACCCCATCTCTTAAATCACCTCCCCCCACTTCGGTACCATTTAACAACTGCGGGCCTAATCCCGCCCTCTCTGCTCCTTCAAGTCATTGGTTAACACACTCTCCGCCCCGACACACCCAGTGCTGTCGGGATCCGGCTCTTCCGCTTTCTGGGTTAGCTGCCTTTGCGCCTGCGCAGTTGCAGTTCCGGGAACAGTAGCGCCAGTCTGAACAGTTCATTCTGGAGGCCAGGAGCCCTGAATCTTTCCAATCGAACGCCGAGAGCCTCGAACGGGAGGGTCGGCTTTTAAAGGGCTAGGAAGTAGCGCGCAAAAAGGAGCCAAGGCCAGACTTGGAGAGCCTCGAGGAGAGTCTAAGCACAGTCGGCAGGCTCGCGTTTGACCAGTTGCCTCGTCTCCCTTCCGCTAGGGACACAGGCAACGAGAAGTCCAGCCTCCTAGCGCAGTCTCAATCCCCTAGTCAGCACCGTCAGTGCTGAGTCTCACCTCCTGCACGGACTAGGCCACAAGAATGCGCACCTGCACCCCCATCTGTGCGGAGAAAACCCTCTCCCGGCCTTCCGATGGAGGCTCGGGGTGACCTTAGGTGGGAGTTTCCCCCCTCTGGGCCTCGAGTTTCCCCATCTGTGAAATGGCTTGAGGGCGATTGGTCCTTGAACTCAGAATAAATCTCAGAATACTTTCCAGTCCCCAGAAGCGCCTTCTTGTCCTCAGCCTCGCCCCCAAAGGATGGAGGCTACTCCAGGAAATCCCTTCCCAAATGGGACGGGATCCTAGGCAGGGGCGGCGACGAGAGAGCGGCAGCCAGAGGTGGAGGGAACAGATGCTGCGGGGAGGCGGCCACTGATTGGTTGTGGGAAGGGGGTGGGGCCACGAGGCTGCGCAGTTGGGGACCGCACGGGCGGTTTTGCGGTAGCTGAGTGGTAATGCCGTGCTTTATTTTACCTAATCGTGCTTCCAAAAAAGCCCTGGTGGTACTGTGTTTAAGTGCTTGGCTGCTAACGGAAATGCCTATGGTTGGAACCCACCAGCTGCTTCTGGGAGAGAGAAGTCAGTCTGCTTCGTAAAGATTAAACCTTTGAAAACCCTTTGGGGGCACGTCTACTCTGTCCGCTAGGGTCGCAATGAGTCGGAATGGACTCTTCCAGATAATATCTCCAGATGAGGAAAAGTTCCGTGTAAGAACGCCCAGTCAAGATTCGGATGCTGGTCTAGCCTGACCAAACGTGTTTTAAACTACACATCTCTCCCGGAAGCCATTACCCTTCCTTCCTTCCACTGCCTTCCCCACCCTCCACCCCAGCTTCATTTTTGTGCTATATGGAGTGGAGAATTATATCTGTTCTCTCTTCTTGTGCCAAGGAATGAGGATACAGGGAACTTGTGTTCAAGGCTCAAGAAAGGCAAAGATTTCAGAAAACAGCTGCTGTGGCCATGGGCATGCACCAGACAAGCCAGCAACTGGGATTAGGGTCAGGGTGTGCATGTGGGCCTCTTTCTCCCTTTTTTCTTCCACCCACCATCACAATGGACCTGTTTGCCCAGACCTCACCATTGCCACTCTCCAAGCCCTCCCTCTGCAGCTGTGTTAGAGTGAAGCATGGGAGCTGGCGGTTTCCCAGGGCTGGTGGTCTCAGGACTGTGCTTCTGGAGAGGTGAGAAAGGTGTGGAAGACAGGAGCAGCCTCCCCAGGCAGAATATACCCCTGCAACCAGGGGACTCTGGGCCTGGAGCCTAAGCCTCCTCGGTCCCAGAATTGGGCCTCTCCAGGTTGGCAGTAGCAGGGCTGTCTGAATTTCCTCTCCAGATCTTGGCCTGATAATGCCCCAGAGACAAAGAGCACCATGTGTGCAGGAAACACCCAGGGCAACCTCTCCCTGCTGGACTGCAGCCTGGACTGGGCCACCTGGCTGGACTGGAAGGGCTTCAGGGCAGGTTGGACTGGATCCTTCCTCCTTCAGTCTGCTCAGAATCACAGGGGGAGAGAGAAACCCGTCTAACAGGTACAGATGAGAACACTGAGGCCCAGAGGGGGAAGCTGAGTGGTCCAAGGTCATACATTCAGGCCTGGGCAGAGCTGGGGTTAAACTCAGTCCCATGCCTAGAGGACAAGTATCTTTTCATCTGCCCATACCTGTCTCCCTTCTCTCCCATCCCCCACTTGCACCCACATCATCAGAACAACCTTTTGCAGACCCAGCAGGCATCTTCACACCTCAGTTTCCCCTAAGTGGTAAGGTTGAGGGAAGCCTAGGGCCAGCATTGTAAGTGACCATAGATCAGTAGACCCAGGTCCTCCCACTAAGTCCCCCACCCTTTATTGAAGGCTTATCCTGAGCCAGGCCCTCACTGTGTGCCCTACCTGCTCCCTCACGTTAACCCCTGCCCCCACCCCTAATCTCTGTCCAGGGTCTTGGGCAGGGAATCACTCACTCCCAGCCCAGATGGAGGCTAGAGATGAGGATCAGGGGCCTGGAGGCTCAAAGTTCCAAGGCCTGGATGCCCCCTCCCCATCTTCCCATCTCCTCACAACTCCCAGATACACAAAGAGCTGCCCTCAGTTTCCATAGCAACCATTACCCCTGGCTTCCTGAGGCCCAGAGCCAGACCTTCCTTGCAGGTCCCTTTCTCTCAGAGAAAGGCATCCTGTCCTCACCAAGGAGTCTTGGGGCATGGGACTAGGCTGTTCATCCACACCTCTTTTGGGACCTCTCAGGCCCTAAGTTTTTATAGCCAGAAATTAGGGGAAAGGATGCTGTCCAAGTCCCTTTCCAAGTCCCTGTGGGCCCCAGTTGAGTCCATAGAGGGTAGGCATCCATTCCCATCCACTTCAATGCACCTTTCCTGAGCACTTGCGATGTGCTGGGCCCTGCTTGGCCACTAGAGACCCAGTGCAGGACAAAATAGACAGGGGACATAGTGCCTAAGGCACTTGACTGCTAACCAGAAGGCTGGTGGTTCAAACCCACCAGCCACTCCTTGGAAGGAAGATGGGGCAATCTACTTCCATAGTGATACTGCCTCAGAAACACAAGGAGGGGTCATGATGAGTCGGGGCCAACTTGACAGCACATAACAACTGTGCCCCGTGCAGCTTAATTCATAGGGGGAGACAAGTAATAAACAAGCAAACAGTTCAGATGGTGATTGGTGCTAGAAAGAAAATAAACACAGCGATGAAACACAGGATGTCACAGGAGGAGCCAGGACCAGCCTTGAGAGGGTATGCACTCCAGGAAAAAGGAATGTCAGGGGCCAGCCCCAGGGCAAGAAACACTTAAGGACCAGACCAGAAGACTGGGCAAGAAGGCTTTTTCTGTGATGTGGAGGGCAGGCGTAAGAGGGTGTCTTAGTTACCTAGAGATGCTGTAACAAAAATTCCACAAGTGAGTGGCTTTAACAAACACATTTATTTTCTCACAGTTTAGGAGGCTAGAAGTCCGAATTCATGGTGCCGGGTCTTGGGAAAGGCTTTCTTCCTCTGTCAGCTCTGGAGAAAGGTCCTCGTCTTATTTGCGTTTCTGCTCCTGGGTACGGCCATCTCCATCTCTTCTTGCTTCTGGGTCTTAAACTCTAAACTCACTGCCCTGCCCTCAAGTCCACATCACCACCCTTCAGGTTTCCAAGGCTGTAAATCTTGAAGGAAGCAGACTGACTCAACTTTCTCCTGTGGAGGAGCTGGGGCAATCTACTTCCATTTGATCAGCTGGACCAAATGCCTTAACCACCGGGACTCCTTTTCTGGGTCCTAATTTGCTTCACTGGTTTAAAAACACCCCTACATGGATATGGCTTAACATACCAAAGAAAACTCATTCCCAAATGAGATTATAACCAAAAGTATAGAGAGGAGGCTTTACAATACATATTTTCAGGGGACATAATCCATTCCTACCGGCGGGGATGCCTGTGACTGCAAGGGGCCAGAGGGCGTTCTTGTTGTCACTTCAACTCTCAAGAGAGAACCGTGGCTGTGTTACAGGCCTGTCTGAAGATTAACTGAGATGAAGCATGTCCAACCTTAACCACCCAGAGCCTGGCACTGAGCGAGCGCTCAGTCAGCCGTCGCTGTGCTTGTTCACGGTCCAGAGCGTCCGCCAGCCCCTCTGGGGCTAGAGGCGACGCTGGGGCCTGCTGTGGGGTGCGAGGGGCGGGAAAGGAAAGAGACCCAAGCAGGCGGGGGCGCCCTCACGACTGTTCCGGCGAAGGTGAGGGATTCCCCAGCCGCGCCAGACCGGCCGCCCACGTCAGGGAGGCCCCTGGCCAGCTCTCGGGCGGGAGGCGACCTTCACAAGGCCTCTTTGTCCCGGCTGCACCGGTGCCGCCGCGGGCCCGGCCACCTGGGCCAGGGGGCGGGGGCTCCAGGTGTTAGGCGGCTCCGGGGCAGGTCGTGGCTGGCTCCGCCTCCTGTCCCCAGAGCAGGTGCTCGGGACCCCCGAGGGCCTGCATTCCAGTCTCCTCCCCCTTAGCCCAGCCGCGGTGCGACAGTCCCTTTGATCTGGAGCTAGGGTCACGGGCGCCACCTCCAGGGGCGGTTGAGGGGAGGAGACGGGGCCCCAGAGCTGGGGAGAGGGGGATGGGCTCGACAGCAGGTAACGGGGACTAGGACTTCCTCCAGCCCCTCTCATCAGTCCCGGTGGGAAACTCAGCCCAGAAGCGAGATTCCCTGGTTCCTCCCAGGCGGGCGGGGGGTCGGCTGCCCAGGCAGGGGCGGGGCCAGGCCACCGGGAGGGAGAGGGGCCTCCCCGCCCCTTCGGGCTCAGCCAAGCGGAGGTGAAACCTGAGCCCAGGTCGGGGGCGGGGCCGGCTCCGGCTGGGACCCGGCTGGCCCGCGCCTCGCCCCCTGCCCGCGCCGCCCGTCTCTCCACGAGCTGGGCCAAGGCCTGGGGCCGCTGGAGCAGGTGAGGGTGGCGTCGCGAGAAAGAAAGCGAGGACGGGCGGCCGTCGGGCCCCGCCGCCCAAGGCCCACCCTCCTCTCTCTCTACTCGCTCCCTAGGGCCCGCGCTGGAGCCTGCAGCCCCGGGGCGCGCCCTGCTCAGAGCGCCCCTGTGGGCGGCCATGCTGCCTCGAGGGCGCCCCCGGGCGCTGGGGGCTGCCGCGCTGCTGCTGCTGCTGCTGGTGATCGTATTCTACCTGTTCGGCGGGGACCTGGAGTGTGAGCGCCACGAGCGAGGAGGGTGAGCTAGGGGCCCGGGGTTCCTGTCCTGCCCGCTGACGCCACGTGTCCCTCCAGACGGGCGGCTGCGGGGGGCTGCTGCACTAGATGAAGACCTGCCGTGGGACCACAACCGATCGGCCTGCTTCCCGCTGCGGTCGCTGTTACCCAAGTGCGAGGTAGGTGCGCGCGGCCCATGGTGCTGGGAACCCTGGGGGCGCCAGAGGCGCCCAGCCTGGCCAGCTGTGTCAACACCTGGCTTTGGCTCCGGCGTTGACCAGTCAGTTGGAGGAGCTAAGGATTTGCGCTTCTCCTGCTCTGGGTCTCAGTTTCCCCATTAGTGAAATGAGGGGAGTGGCCTCCTGCCCCTCCCGGCCCTTCCTTGTCTCTGACTCTGGTGTGGGGCTGCAGTTGCTTCAGGCCAGGCCAGCTCAACCAGGGGTCCTCAGCGGTTAGTGGAGGAGGGGCAAAGCCACCGACCGCGGTGTCCCCTCCCCAGCTCTTGCATGTGGCCATCGTGTGTGCAGGCTATAACTCCAGCCGAGATGTCGTCACCTTGGTGAAGTCCCTGCTCTTCTACAGGTACAGACAGGTGTCAGTGGGAGAGGGTTAGAGATTAGAAGTTAGAGATTAGAAGTGGAGAAAGACACAGGGTCTTAGGAACGGCTCTGGGTCTCAGAGCCTCAACTTCCCCCTCTGCCACATGGGGACAATGTCTTCCTTCTGGGTCTCAGAGCCTCAACTTCCCCCCCTGTCACATGGGGACAATGTCTTCTTCCTTCTGGGTCTCAGACCCTCAACTTCCCCATCTGTCACATGGGGACAATGTCTTCTTCCTTCTGGGTCTCAGACCCTCAACTTCCCCATCTGTCGCATGGGGACAGTGTCCTCTTCCTCCCTTGAAGAGCCGGGATGGAAGATGGTGCTTTCCACCTCTGAGCCCCTTGGGCTGGAGGTGGCCTGTGCTGTTCAAGCTGTGGGCCCTCAGACTTCCTCCCTGTCCATCTCAAAGGAAAAATCCATTGCACCTGCACTTGGTGACTGATGCCATCGCCAGGAACATCCTGGACACGCTCTTCCATACGTGGATGGTGCCTGCTGTCGCGGTCAGCTTCTATGACGCTGATGAGTTTCAGGCAGGAGTCTTGATCCTTCATCTCCCCTCCCCCAAAGTGTCCTTCTTTTCTTCCTCCCAGGGCAGACAGCTGCATGGGAGCCCCTGCCCCATCACATCT